TTCTCTATGAACATCCCGAGACATGAAACTGATCAGAAGCCGCACTGATATCTCCTCCTATCAGGACCCGAGGAGCTCTGCAGGGGAGTGTCCATCTGTCATCCAATGAGGACACACCTATACCAGCCTCTGCCCGGGGCACGGCCCGCCGGAGCGGGTCAGGTACTGAGTGAAGAATGCCGGGTGGACAACATCTCCGGGGTGACTGGTCATCACATCAAATACACTTTTGTTGGGTGGCACGGCCCTCAGCATATTATCGAGATCCAGCGAAGGCGCGGGCGGACATGGCGGCTCCGGATGACTGCTCCCCGGCTGTGGTACCAGTCCCCAGTAGGTTGGGCTCATGTAGGGGGAGGATCCATAGTTGTAATAACCAAACTGGGAAAAGGGGAAGAAAGGAAGAGCAGTGGGTGGAGCCACCACATTGGGCGGAATACACTTTGTGTAGGAAGTGGGCAAGTCGGAGGCCAGAACAGGCACCTTAGCAGGAGGCTCCCGTGGGGAACGTCTCTCTGCATCAGAGTCTGAAGAGGAGACACTTCGGGGGTCATCATCCTCCTCTCTTGGCCGCTTGGTGGAATGACGGGACCTCTGAGGAGAAGTTCCAGCGATGTTTGTACCGGAATCTTCATCAGAACTACGAGGGGAAATGGTGGAAAGACTGGCACAGGAGGACGAGTACAGGGACTGACTAGCTGAAACGTTGGGACTGCTGGAGCGCTGGAACAAGCGGGAGTTGGAGTTACAGCCAAGAGGGTTCACCGGCCAAATGTTCCCGGCCAAGGATTGGGAATGACTTCTTCTGCTCTCCGTAGACTTGGAGACGTCTGCCAAGTCCACATCCTGCAGGTCTTGGAGTAAAGATTCGATCATGAAGGACGTGTTGAGTTTGCTTTGCTGGGACTCATCCCCGGAGGGCAGGGAGCCGGGAGGAGAGAAGGTCCTGGTTGGCTCTCCGCCGGCACCATATTTGTGGTTGTGTAGGATGTAGGGGGACAGGTCCTGGATGAAATAGGTGGTTCCACCTCGCGCCATCATCGTGTTCTGCAGCTTCAAGGCATCCAGAGGGATTCTCGTCACATCCACCGTCCAAAAGTTCCCCTTGGCCTGAGGTTTCCCCGGGTCCTTCAGCACCTACAAAAGACACAAAGACGCATCAAACCTTCTCAGAGACTCCAAACCAAACAACGGACAAACATGACACCAGAATGTACAATCCTCCCACCAGAGCCGGCGGCCTCCATTTCCTGTCCCAGCAATTGTGCCAGAAGTCTAAATACAGGAACCAGAGTCAGCGCACTCAGTAATCAGCACTCACCAACACAACTGGTCAGCAAACTCTGATCAGGTCAGAGGTCACTCATACCAGAGACCCTCCAACAGGACCCCACCAGAGACCCTCCAACAGGACCCCACCAGAGACCCTCCAACAGGACCCCACCAGAGACCCTCCAACAGGACCCCACCAGAGACCATCCAACAGAACCCAACCAGAGACCCTCCAACAGGACCCCACCAGAGACCCTCCAACAGAACCCCACCAGAGACCCTCCAACAGAACCCCACCAGAGACCCTCCAACAGACGCCCATCAGAGACCCTCCAACCAGAGAACCCCACCAGAGACCCTCCAACAGACCCCCATCAGAGACCCTCCAACCAGAGAACCCCACCAGAGACCCTCCAACCAGAGAACCCCACCAGAGACCCTCCAACAGAACCCCAATCCTGCATCTCACCGACATGAAAGCAATGCAGAGTGAGAAGGAATCCCGAGGTGATAACATCAAAACTCCTTCCAGCTCCGTCTCTGAGAAGAGGGAGGAGTCTCTACGCCCCAAATGATAACAGCCAATCACTGAGGACACATCCATAGAGAACCCCACCCAGGAGGAATCTCTCCTCACCTTCCGGAAGCAGTCATTGGAGGAGAGGTTGTGGCGGACGGAGTCCTTCCATCCAATGTAATCTCGTCTGAAGAACGGGAAGAGAATTTCGATGTGTTTCAGAATCTGAGGAGAAAAAACAACATTTCCTGTCAGAGAATCTCCTCCCACTTCTCATCACTTCCCTCCAATACTGAGAAGAAATGAGCTCGCAACCAACATCCCCACCCACAGCGCACGCAGAGCTCACATCCCCACCCACAGCGCACGCAGAGCTCACATCCCCACCCACAGCGCACGCAGAGCTCACATCCCCACCCACAGCGCACGCAGAGCTCACATCCCCACCCACAGCGCACGCAGAGCTCACATCCCCACCCACAGCGCACGCAGAGCTCACATCCCCACCCACAGCGCACGCAGAGCTCACATCCCCACCCACAGCGCACGCAGAGCTCACATCCCCACCCACAGCGCACGCAGAGCTCACATCCCCACCCACAGCGCACGCAGAGCTCACATCCCCACCCACAGCGCACGCAGAGCTCACATCCCCACCCACAGCGCACGCAGAGCTCACATCCCCACCCACAGCGCACGCAGAGCTCACATCCCCACCCACAGCGCACGCAGAGCTCACATCCCCACCCACAGCGCACGCAGAGCTCACATCCCCACCCACAGCGCACGCAGAGCTCACATCCCCACCCACAGCGCACGCAGAGCTCACATCCCCACCCACAGCGCACGCAGAGCTCACATCCCCACCCACAGCGCACGCAGAGCTCACATCCCCACCCACAGCGCACGCAGAGCTCACATCCCCACCCACAGCGCACGCAGAGCTCACATCCCCACCCACAGCGCACGCAGAGCTCACATCCCCACCCACAGCGCACGCAGAGCTCACATCCCCACCCACAGCGCACGCAGAGCTCACATCCCCACCCACAGCGCACGCAGAGCTCACATCCCCACCCACAGCGCACGCAGAGCTCACATCCCCACCCACAGCGCACGCAGAGCTCACATCCCCACCCACAGCGCACGCAGAGCTCACATCCCCACCCACAGCGCACGCAGAGCTCACATCCCCACCCACAGCGCACGCAGAGCTCACATCCCCACCCACAGCGCACGCAGAGCTCACATCCCCACCCACAGCGCACGCAGAGCTCACATCCCCACCCACAGCGCACGCAGAGCTCACATCCCCACCCACAGCGCACGCAGAGCTCACATCCCCACCCACAGCGCACGCAGAGCTCACATCCCCACCCACAGCGCACGCAGAGCTCACATCCCCACCCACAGCGCACGCAGAGCTCACATCCCCACCCACAGCGCACGCAGAGCTCACATCCCCACCCACAGCGCACGCAGAGCTCACATCCCCACCCACAGCGCACGCAGAGCTCACATCCCCACCCACAGCGCACGCAGAGCTCACATCCCCACCCACAGCGCACGCAGAGCTCACATCCCCACCCACAGCGCACGCAGAGCTCACATCCCCACCCACAGCGCACGCAGAGCTCACATCCCCACCCACAGCGCACGCAGAGCTCACATCCCCACCCACAGCGCACGCAGAGCTCACATCCCCACCCACAGCGCACGCAGAGCTCACATCCCCACCCACAGCGCACGCAGAGCTCACATCCCCACCCACAGCGCACGCAGAGCTCACATCCCCACCCACAGCGCACGCAGAGCTCACATCCCCACCCACAGCGCACGCAGAGCTCACATCCCCACCCACAGCGCACGCAGAGCTCACATCCCCACCCACAGCGCACGCAGAGCTCACATCCCCACCCACAGCGCACGCAGAGCTCACATCCCCACCCACAGCGCACGCAGAGCTCACATCCCCACCCACAGCGCACGCAGAGCTCACATCCCCACCCACAGCGCACGCAGAGCTCACATCCCCACCCACAGCGCACGCAGAGCTCACATCCCCACCCACAGCGCACGCAGAGCTCACATCCCCACCCACAGCGCACGCAGAGCTCACATCCCCACCCACAGCGCACGCAGAGCTCACATCCCCACCCACAGCGCACGCAGAGCTCACATCCCCACCCACAGCGCACGCAGAGCTCACATCCCCACCCACAGCGCACGCAGAGCTCACATCCCCACCCACAGCGCACGCAGAGCTCACATCCCCACCCACAGCGCACGCAGAGCTCACATCCCCACCCACAGCGCACGCAGAGCTCACATCCCCACCCACAGCGCACGCAGAGCTCACATCCCCACCCACAGCGCACGCAGAGCTCACATCCCCACCCACAGCGCACGCAGAGCTCACATCCCCACCCACAGCGCACGCAGAGCTCACATCCCCACCCACAGCGCACGCAGAGCTCACATCCCCACCCACAGCGCACGCAGAGCTCACATCCCCACCCACAGCGCACGCAGAGCTCACATCCCCACCCACAGCGCACGCAGAGCTCACATCCCCACCCACAGCGCACGCAGAGCTCACAGCCCCACCCACAGAGCTCGCATCCCCACCCACAGAGCTCGCATCCCCACCCACAGCGCACGCAGAGCTCACAGCCCCGCCCACAGCGCACGCAGAGCTCACATCCCCACCCACAGCGCACGCAGAGCTCGCATCCTCACCCACAGAGCACGCACTCCAAGTTGCAGGTAAAGAAGGAAACGCGTTTTGCATTATCAGAGTTTCAGCATCAACTCAACCCGAACCACTATTACCTTCTGTATCACTGGCCCCTCCCACTAGATTGTAAGCTCTCAGGACCCTGAAACTGTATTGTGTCTGTACTGTCGCCGCTCTATAAATGCCGTATAATAATAATCTTGTCGGGGGAGGGGCGGTCAGACCCGTTTAATGGCAGATTTGGGCGCGGTGATCGCACGGCTCAGTTACAATGCGATGGTGCGAACGGGGCCCCAATTCTATCCCTCTGGGCCCATTGTGTGGCCCTTTGGACAGCGGATACTTAGCTACCCCCAACAACCCTCAGAATTGGGGATTAGAGAGGATTGGATGAGTTCATTACATGTAGCGGTGGGGGGGCCCCGGCTTATCTCTGATCTGTCACTCAGGAGACCCTGGGGAGGGGCCACATCTACAGAGCCGCCCCCCGCCGGGCACTAAGGGGGGTTCCTGTTTAACTAACCTCTTGCCTCCAGATTACGTTTA